TCTAAGGAGTACAAGTTTTTTAGAACAATAAGGTAATAAACAATTTTTGTAGTGATATATGTGTAACAGGTGAAAGTATAAACCAATAGAGGAAAGCTAACCTCTTCTCCTGCCCTTCATTCAAACTGAATATGTTGCTATAACTTTAATTTGTAACTTGAAGTAATATACTTCTCCCCTCATCCAACTCAAAAAAGCAAAATAAAAATACCTCACCGAAAACTGTTCCTGACTTTTAAAGGTCATATTCAGTTGTACGTTGGAAAGACTTGCATATTTTTACTCTTACTAGTGTACACACCTTCCTCCTATAAGGATTTTTGAATTTGGCTGTAATGCTCTCTCTGCCACCGTGAAGGGAAATGGCTTCCATCATAATTAGGTTTTTCTGAAAACAAAATAAAACAAAACAAAAAATACCATCATATCTATAATTATTTTAGCTATTCCTTCCCCTTATATCACAGTCCTCGGCTGCTAATTCAAGGCAATAGCAAAGAAAAAATGGTGTTGGAGGCTTTGTCTTGACTAAATGAAACTAGCTTGTGCTTCTTGGGCCAGCTGCTAATTGTCTAACAATAAGTAAAAGAAAAATAGGCCCAACAATAGGCCCAACAGGCAAATTCAGCCCAACAGGAAAAGAGCTTTGTAGTCCCTCCCACAAAACAGAGCAACGTGCTGCTTGTAGGGCAAAGAGTTCCTAACATCAAGTTTGTATCTGAATAGCTATTCTTAGGTAAAATCCCTGCTGTTTGCTGCTTTGGCTTTTTGAAAAGTCATTTTAAAAAGATATTTTTTAAATGCTTTGCTTCTTCTTTCTTCTTTTGCCTTATCTAAAATAGAATTGTATGAAAAATCTTTCACTGGTTATTATTGTTCATTAACAATACTACTACTTTCTTCAAGAGTAGCCTTCTATGTCCAGCAAATCACTACTCTAAATCATTTTTCTAAGTGATATTTGTTAGTTTCTATTACACTTTTGTGCATTTGCCTATGTTAAGTTTTTCTAGTCCTGTAATGAATGCTAAAAGCTTAAAAACCTTCCGGCTTAAACCTGTTCTCTATTCTAAAAACAAAACTGTCTATGTTTTTCCTTAGAATTTCTCTTCTCTGACTTGCAGATATATTTTAGGTCTTTTTATACTGCATAATAATGTTAAGCTGTACAAGTCATAAAATATTTACATGATATTAAAGATAGGTAAGTTTTCAGATAATTTTGCCTTTGGATGGAATTGGAGCTACAAATCCTCAATTTCTCTTCTTTTAATAGTACAAGAAAATGATCTATAAAACTTTTCATTTAAAAGCTGTGAAGAATTTAAGCTACAGCTACATATGCAGGTATCTGTTGTTAAGAGAGTGACTTGGATGTTATGCAGCCTGACTGGAATTTTCAAAAATAGCAACAGAGTGCATATGTGTTCGTTAGCAATAAATCAGACCCTTGTGTCTCTGCTTTTAGTTTCACTTTTGCTATTAGTTCATAGTTTCAAATAGCTGCTTCTTTTGATGAGTTCATTATTTCTCAGAACTGTGTGAAATTCTGTTTTCTTTTTGTGATCTTATTCTAGTTCACAAATCAAAAGCTTAACATGCCCTAGAGATTTTACAGATATTTTTGAACTGTAAAGCTTTGCACTAAGCCCCAACTTTCTACTAAATCAGTGTATTTCACTAATTTCCTTAATATGTCTTAATATTCTCAGCGGTTTTACAGAAAGGAAAGGAAATCAACTCCACTTACATTTTTTTTCTAAAACTAGAAAAATCAAGAACATACTCCTTGGTTTTGTTTCTTTGGCAATATACGCCTTTCTACTCATTCACATTTAATCTGATTTTTTTCAACAACGTTGCTGCAAACGTTGAGTGTTTTGTTAGGAAATTTTCTCCTGTTTCTACTGAAAAAATGCCTTAAACTATGCAACAACGTGTGTGTCTGTCTGCAGACATCTAATGCTATCACTGGTATCCACCATATGCCTAAAAGACAGAAACAAACCTGATCTGACTTGTGTTTCTTTCTTATCCTGACATTGTACATTTTTGGGCAGGGAAAGGATACCTCAGAAGCAGTAAGCACTTTCATATATGCTTTCACTTGAGTTTAATCATTTGCATAGTTCTCTGCAATAGTTAGGCAAAAAGCTTTCTCCTTAAACAGCAGAGGCTGATTCTCTGATTCCCAGGCAACTATCTGAAGACGTTTTCTTTCAGAAAAGATCCTTCAGCAATGGCAGAATGGTGGTTCTCATCCCAAGTGACAGATATCCTAAGAGCATTACCCAAACGGTGGAGACAATCTCTGTGAATAAAGGTGCTAGTTCTGTCTGGAGAGTGGTAATGGTTTCACTGATGCAATACTAGTTATCTGTGGAAAAGATAACCCCCTTACAGTACCTTTTGACAGATGCTGTAAAGGAAGAAAACCCCTATGAAATGCCCTGTGGTAAATTATGAGAATTTGTTCGCTCCAGGGCTGAGCTTTCTACTGGCAATTTTTTGGTTTCTAACCTTTTATCTGATTTCAGTCATTGTAAAACCAGAATAACCTGCATGACTGATGGAGAGCGGGTTACCTACTGCCATGATGGCAATATACTCCTTACGGTCATAATCTTCCTCACTACCTTTCTGTTCATTAGCAAGTTATGTTGTCACTGAAGATGTTCTGGATTTTTGACTATTCTTGAACTCCTGGAATCATCCCATGAAGGGCCTTGCTTTGTTGGTAAGAGGAATTCTGGTCATTGCTTGGAAGCAATGATGGTCCACCCAGGACTGCAGCTGAGCAAGCAACTGTTCAGAGCCATGTTTTCTGTAACCAAGTCTAAAGCTGAGATCAGACCCAAGGTGCAGCTGATTGTAGGGGTATGTAGGTTGTATGGTATGTAGAATACCATATGGCAAACCTCAGCATAGAGGAAGTCAGAGGAAATGAGATTTTGGGCCTCTGTCTTTATTATTAATGTGTATATTCAAACCTACTGGGGCAATAAATCTAGAAAATTCCACATGAATTGTTATCTGAATTCCTGTTTAGTAGCATTTTAGCCTTTGGGAACTTGTATTTGAGTAGGAAATGTTATCTAAAACAAGAAGGAACCGGAAAGATTACCTCCCCCCACCCCCCCAGTTTTACAAATGCACAGTGTGCTGACTATTAAAGGCTTGAGGACATTTAACCCTGTACAATGACCTTATTTTGCTGATCATTACTTAGGGTTTTTAGCAGAAAGGGAGGCTGTAGTGTAGTGGATGGACTGCCTTTCTTCTAATACCTCCAACTATGCTCTAGCCCAGCTCAAACAAATCTTCCACAAGACGTGGGCCTGTGATGAGGCATGTGCCCTGCATGCTCTGGGAATACAAAGCTTGGGTTCGGTGTGTCCTGTGTTACCAACTCAGATGTTGACAGTGTTGAGCATGATCCCTCCAGGTCAGCTGCTGCTGTTTGCCGTACACGCCTGGAGCGATGGCCTGCAGCAGGCCCGTGAGGCAACCAGGGCCCCTTCCCAGTGCGGCGCGGGGCCATTGATGACTACGCGGCAGACTGCTGATCAGGGTTGCTGACGGCTTCTGCTCCTCCAAACAGCACAAGTCTCTTAAATGGTCGAAGCCCAGGGTGAAAAAAGGAATTGTGTTGCTTGCCCTTCTGGGTAGGTATCCATGTTTTTATGTAGAGACGTAATCCTGGAATATAATCTGGGTTGCAGCAGTGGATTTATGCTGGCAAGATCCTCAGATGGCTTGACTGGGGAAGTGGCACCATGATAGCTGTTAGTTCACTTTTCAAGTGCTTGCTGCAGCCACACAAGCAAGACCCCTGTGAGCTAAGATTTTTTTCAGGCAGGGAACAGAGAGTCTGGTTAACTACTTCTATAGATATCAAACCACTTCAAGGAAGAAACGTTTCCTCACTTGTGAAGCACAGCTAAAAGCAGGGAGGGCTGCACTGAGTTACATAAGCTCTGGCAGGGCCAGAATAAGACGTTCTGGTTTCTTGACTTCCAACCTGTTGTCTTTAACCTGCGCTTCCGAACGGGACGGAGCAGACGCACCAGCAAAGTCAGAAGGATGTTGTGAAAC